AGAAACACAGAGTTTGAGCTCCGTCCAAAGATTCTCTATAGAGTTTAGGTTTGGAGACTGGCTACACCAAGGCAGAACCTTGATATGCTTCTTCCAGAGCCACTCATCTAAATGGCCATTGGCGAACTTAAGATGGGCCTTGACATGTGCTGGTTTAAGCAGGGGAACCTTCAGTGAAATGCATGATTTTAAACAATGGCGTCTTAATGCTTAGTGTATTAGAAACAGTAACCTTGGAAACGGTGGTCACAGCTCTTTACAGGTCATTTTTCACTTTTCCTAGGATCCTTGAGACCCTACAAGGTGAGATCTTGCATGGAGCCCCAGTCCGAGGCAGATTGACAGTCATGTTTACTTTTTCCTTTTTCTAATGATTGCTCCAACAGTGGACCTTTTTTCACCAAGCTGCTTGGCAATAATCTCCGTAGCCTTTTTCGACCTTGTGGAGGTGTACAACTTTGTCTCTAGTGTCTTTGGACAGCTCTTTGGTGTTGGCCATATTAGTAGTTTGATTCTTACTGATTGTGTGAGGGGAACAGGTGTCTTTATGTAGCTAATGACCTCAAACAGGTGCACTAATTTAGGATAATAAATGGAGGGAAGGTGGACATTTTGAAGGCAGACTAACAGGTCTTTGAGGATCAGAATTTCAGCTGATAAACAGGTGCTCAAATATTTATTTACAGCTGTATCATACAAATAAATAGGTAAAAAAAAATCATAAATTGTAATTTCTGCACTATTTTTTAGATTATGTCTCTCACAGTGGACACGCACCTACGATGACAATTGCAGACCCTGCATAATTTCTAAGTCGGAGAACTTGCAGAATAGTAGGGTGTTCAAATTGTTATTGTCCTCACTGTGTAAAGATATATTTATATAATTATATGTATATTTTTAGCATTGTTTTTTAATATTTTCTTTTTCTACTTCTTTTTGTAACCTATTTGGGCATTAAAGCCCCAGGAATCGATGTACCAGAGCTAGATGATAGCTCAACAGATTTGCTTCACAGGCAGAACATAATAATTTTTGCCATGAGGATTCACTTGGTACTTGTAAATCAAACTTTATTGAAAATTATTTAGGGAATAAAATGGTATAGATGACATGAAAGAGAGCATGGAAAGGGAGAAAATAAAACAAAACAACAAAAATAGACAACACAGAAGATATGTGTTGTCTATAGAAGTAGACTTAGAAGTCTACTTCCACACCTGAATGGGATGAGAGGGAAATATTACATAATATTAATCAGGGGGGTATATATCTGTAGCTGCTGCCTAGTATTTAGTATTAGTGTGTATCCATGAGCACCTGGAACCAAACCCCCATATTATGTGTGCATGGGCATGCTTTTGTAAAGGATTTAAAAAGCTTCTTCTGAAGGAAAATATGCTTAAGAGGCCAGGAGGCCCAGACTGGCCCGGCAGCCACCAGAAATGAGACAGTGCCCATCAAAGTATTGAGCCCCTGACATAGGCACCTGTCTCTGGCATGGAGCATAAGACGGGAGGAGGAAGGCCCTGCTCATACTTGGGCCCTATGATGTTCCAGTAGGTGGGAGGGGAGGAAAACACTCAACCTGACTTGTAAACAAATTTACATACATTCACACAATCCCGCCCTTAAGCCTATGTGGACATATGCAAGCATTCAATAGAGACGCACACAAGGAAATGCAGACACTAAACATATTTTTATACTGCTCATACAAACACTGTCCTCCTGGGCCTAGGGGCCAATCCCTCTGGGGGACACAGCCCACAGACCCAGGAGGAGATCCCCAGATCCCCCGCTGTGAGAAGGAGGCAGGCAGCAGGCAGGGGCCGGAAACAAAAGGGGCAGAAAACAGGTGCCAAGGGAGGAGAGGAGCAATTTTCATCTAAGAAATTATTCCTTTGGGACTTGGGCTGAGAGGTCCTTGCAGCCCAGTTCTAGCCCCAACAACAAGCTCAGAAAAATGTCACCAATGCAATTAACCCTAAGAATATTTACAGTCCTGTCAAATTTACATTTTAATGTTAGATCTAAATGTTCAATCTAAATTCTAATTTGCAGGTTATGCAAAGACTGATAGTAATTTCATGGTTGACTCTATAAGTCTGTGATAGCTTTCTGCGTTATCTCTAAAACAGGTGAAGTGTGACATCCCAGGGCTCTGTCAGCAGGAGTACTCCTCCTACATCTGCTTTCATATCAGCACCATCATGCTGGAGAGCGGCGAGCAGACAGCATCGTGACCAACTGACAGAAAGCACCTCAACAACCTCAGCAGTCAGGACCAAAAACAAACCAACAGTACTATAAAAAGTAACCTGTGACAGATGGACATACTGCATATGCAATGACCTGTGTACATAAACCTCAACTTCTGGGAGGTAAAGTCATGTTAATATTCTCTTCAGTTGAGGATTGTTTATCCTTCTATCATGAATGCTTATCTTTGTAAATATGTGAAAGTTTTCTAGGAATCCAAAGCTCCCATCTGGCACCTCTGGTAAAGCTTAGAATAAAATTCAGCTTTTTATGGTGATGCATAAACTCACCAGAAGAAACTTTAATTTGAGCATAAATTTGTCCATAAATCTGAAAAATCCCTAATTAAAAAGTAATAATATTTAGTAAGACTGTCTTACTAGTAGCAAAGCATTACAACACTCCTTTATATTTAACAGCAGAAATAAGATCCTTCTGCCAAATTCAATCTTTGCTTGAAACTGAACTCAACTGGAGTGTTTAATGCCGGAAAGCTCATCTTTAGTGTCAGCTGACCAAAGCCACAGTTTCAGTTAGAAAGCCCGGTGCAATAAACCCAATGCCTACACGTTTGTGATGGTAGGATAGGAAATGTCGGTTCTTGCATCTCTACCAAAACACTGGTTAATGTAATGTCCAAGATTCAGCTCTCTGGCAGTGAGCTTTAAAGCCCATAATGGTTCGTTTAATTTCCTCTTCCTCAATGCACACTGTAGAATGATACACTTAGGTTCTTTTGCAGGCTTGTGTGTTTAAGCTCCAGTTCGTTTATGCTTTTTAATCATTGCTGCAGCTGATCTGGGGAAGTTGACTACATGTTCTCTTGTCTTTCCTATTTGAAGGGTTGTCCTTAAAAAATGTCCTTCCTAATTAAGTCATATCTAAACCTTAAAGGTACAGTGGGGGAAAGACCCACTGCACAACCCTGTACCTGCTCCCGAGAGGGAACACCTATTAATCAGCTGTGTGCAAGAGCATGCACAACCCCATTTCTCCTCGTGCACGTTTGGTTTAAAAGTTGCAGTTTGCATCGCTTACACGTTTACTTTCCAAAAGAAGATTTGCAATTTTTCCACTATGTCAGACACACCACCAGTAAGTGAATATGGGGACGAGCACATAGGTCAGCATTATGTAAACCTATCACCACAATGATTGACAATTAGGAGGACCACTTATTTTGATGTCCACCCAGAAAAATAACTTCCTCCCATATACCTTTCAGTTAAGAATTACTAATAATCAACTTAAAGAAGTAAAGCATGAAGTAAATGACTGTGACATATATTAACCTGGAGTTGTAGGGGTAGCAATACGTTTGTCATTTTGATTTTTGTTAAGGATATGTGTTGTTTAAATAATATTGAATGTTTTTCAAATCTGTTGTAAAATTTTGCAACCATCCTAAAAGAGGAATTTAAACTTCCACACATTACCAGTGGTGCCAGTGTGGAGGGTGCTGCATTGAACTATTCTGTTGTAAATGCTGATATCACTGCTCGGCTTGAAGAACTTAAAGTGATCACATCCTTCCAAAAGCTGTCAAGCAAATAAAGTGAATAAATCAGTGAAACAACTTATCCTATTCTGTGTAACATTGATCCATGTCTTCAGTTTATTATTTTCTAATGCCTGAATTTTTCCTTGGTCAGCTGTGTCATTGTTATATACACTCAAAAACTGCACCAGATATCTAAGAAAAAAATATAAAATAAAAACAGACTTTGAAGACTCTTAGAAAACCTATAAATCATCTGAAAATGGAAAGAGTGAGGAAAGTAATTACTATAAATTCTCCCTAAACTGGCCAAGGAGGGGAATGACCAAAGAAGCAGCCCTGACGGTAACTGGATGAACAACAGAGACTCACAGTTAAAATGAGAAAACAAAATTCCCAGGATATGGAGGAGTTGCAAGAATAAAGCCAGCATTAAAAAAAATCCTTAAGTTATCTAAGTTGTTTTAAAGGTTTCCTCCAATAGTTGGAATGTGCGGGTCAAATTCCAACTAAGACATTTTTGCAAATTTGCAAACTTATGTTGAAAGAGACAATCCCACAAAAGACTCCTCCAATATAAATTCAAACCTCACGTTTTAGAAATAGAATATTTATGGTTTTCCTTTTGTTTTCTACTACTTTGAGTTAATCAATACCATAAACCCAAAAGTTAAGTGGATATAAAATAACACATGGAAGGTGTAGTAATGATATACATGTCCCAGTCACCAGATAGATTTCTCTCTGCTGTGTAAAGCAGCCATTTTAATATCAGAACCATCAGTGTGTTAAAAGACAAACAATAATCCTGAACAAGAAGGAAAGATTGGACTTCATCATGATGCAAACAATATGGCATAGCTTCTTCTAAGTGGCTTTGAGATTCCCAGCAAGGCTGTTTGTTCAGAGCATAAAATATGCAACAGTTAGCTGCTCCTTCACTGAAAAAATGTTGTTGGTTTTATTTGCATCTGAATCCAATCAGAGAGCAAACAGCCAAATGTGGTTGGAAGCGACAATTGTGATTGTTTCCTCCTGGTGTCTGTGTGCGTGTGTGTGCACGTGGGTATGGGAGAGAGAGAGAGAGAGAGAGAGAGAGAGAGAGAGAGAGAGAGGGGAGGGATGGAGAGAGGA